CAGAAAGGGAGAGCGACTGTGTGCTGAAGACCTGAGGGGTAAGGGGGAAGGATTGCATGGAGGTGATTGTAACCATGGCAATGAGACGATATACGATAGAATGAATGTAAAACTAATGTTCTCCCATGTAAACTATCACATAATTCACAATAAAACATTTAAGAAAAAAAAAGTGAGAAAGAGGGACTTCTGGCTGGAGCTATAGCAGTGAAAACCAGGTAGTGTATGCTCCAGTGAGAAGGGAGGGGGATCTCACGAAGGAAGCGCTCATTGAACAACTCCAGGTCTGTATCTACCATACGACCCCAGACGTCAATTTCCCACACTTGCAAGTGAAAAAATCACGATATTAAGGAATATACGACAAGTTAGGAATGTGGAGAAGGGACTCCCTTGGTGACTACCCTGTCCTGGCAGAGTTTAGAGGGCGGGGATAAAGCTAGTCCAGCTCAGAAAACCGTGCTAAAAGTGGTGCAGAGGTATCTACATGAAAAAAAGGAGACGAGGGAGACTAGGCATTTCTCCCTCTTTCTCTCCCTGTCCCACCTTCATTGCTCAGCCTGGACATCAGGCGGGACAGTTATCCCACTGTACAGAGAGAGGGAGCTTGGCGGTGACTTATGACGTCACCAGTGAAGTCACAGATCCAAAAGTTTCGCCAGCGGGACCCCTTAAGTTGGTGCACCGTGGAATAGGTTCCAACTCCAGACATCCCTGTGCAGGATTTCTGGGGCTGTGGGTCTGAGCAGGAGCGAATCACCTCGCCTTTCTTCTGCAGTGCGGCTGGTGGTTTTGAGCTGCTGACCTTGCGGTCTGCAGCCATTGAGTTGCCCGAGCTCCTTGTGCAGGACCAATTCAAAGCAATCTGTAAAACCCCAGCATAACAGGACTTAACCATCCTGAGAATTGTGCTGTACACACGCAGCTACCTAACTGACCTTCAGAGATAAAAATAGTGGACAATCTTTCTCCCATTAACTCCCCAATATCTACCTGAGCACCTTTACTGTAGTGACTAGAGGAGGGGCCTGAGAGAGTGGACACCCCCATACCCTATTGGAGGTTTCTGATTGCACACACACTGACAGTGTAGCTCGGGACAGTCGACCACAGCTACATTTCTGTTCCAAAGTGGTGATTTTTGTCTATGCATTTATATTACTTCTGCTTTTGATCCTTTCACATCTTTCCTGGCGGTAGGAGATTTTCTCCCTACGTTACCCAAGAAGAGACAGCAATCGTGGGCATATAGCCAAGCTATAAGAATACCCCATAATATTCCACCACTGAGACAAGACCCAACAACACCTGCTACGCATTACAAGCGAAAAGGGAAGCCTATCACTTAATCATATTTACCAGGAG